TTTGTGTTTATGGCACTCAAAATTATTCAGTTGAAATTTTCATAAATGTATAAATTGTATTTTTAATATTGAGGTCATAGTTAAGTGGTTTTGTACTGAACTACATTATATTCAGAGGTGTTCCTAATATTCGGACCCTTTCATGTATGTAGCTTGGGAGGACAAAAATATAGACACCTTTGGATATAATGCAGTCCAGTACAAATCAGAAGTATTGCACTGAATTTCATACAGTTATACAGGTGTACCCAATAGCGTGGCCTGTGAGTGTACCTGCAACCTGTTTATAGTGTGTCCATGAACTTTAAATGAGCTCCTGATTCAGGTTTTTGTGTGCGCATGCAGACTAGGGCTGCAAATATTACATTTTTTTGCATCATAATTAATACATCATTAAAAATGAATTTGATTAAATGACAGATTAATCAGTTGGTTAAAAAAAATGTTCAGCCATCGATTTCAAAACCCAAATAAATTGTGTTAGAAACGTTATATTTGTAGAAAAGCAGCAAGTCCTGTTCTTTGACAAGCTGGGACTAGCAAATAGTGTTTTGAATGTTCAAGGAATGCTTGATATTAGAGCTACAACTAATGGTTATCATCAGTTAATCTGCCAATTATTTTTGGTTATACAATATATAAAGAATTTTAAAATGGTGCCAAAATTCCCTTTTTAATTTCCCAGAGCCCAACACAATGCATTGAGCTTCTTTGTTTTTTTCTAAGCAACTGTTAAGTTTTCTAAGTATAATAATAAATTAACTCCTATGCTCTAGAGCAGTCTTTCTTGACCTGAGGGGGTGGGCCCCCATAGCGAACAGACAGCACACCCTGTCCCTGTTTCACTTGACTTATCTGACAAAGTGTAAATCTTAATCAATGCACCCTTGACTGAATGTCACTGTGCCTTTGCTGCTGCTGAAGTATTTTATTCTTTTGCTTCCATTTTACATTTTCATTGTGTATCCTCCAGGAACACGAGATTTTTCAGTGCATGTTTGTATATGCATAGTTGTCTGAGGTTACCTTTTAATGAATCACCTTCATGTATAATAGACCCAACCCTCCAAACCCACACAGCCGCTACTGAAAACACTTCAGACATCATCTGCATACACATCAGGTGTTGAACAGTAATAATATCATTTACGATCATTACATATGCTGGAAGTCTCTTTGCAAGGCAAAGAAAATTCCCTCTTATACCATAGCTGTTCATTTTGACAGTGCATTCCTATTCGATCATGTACTGTATTTTCATACCAGCAGACAAAAATTTAACTTGTCATTAATTTAAAGATTTTCATGCTCTTTTTCTGTTTTTATTAGGTGTAACCTGGGAATGTTTGTCACCTCAGTGATTTGCATTCATTTCACAGTGTGATTAAATTCAGTGGGAGTGCTGTAAACAGCATTAGACCATTAGACTCGGTTTACAGGCTTTAGGCCAGTGCTGTGGAGCTTTATTGTTACCAATAGGGGGCAGTGTTGTGTAGCTCTACTACCCAGCCAGATCGTTTATGCATTCCCCCAGTAAAAATCTATGACAGACAATTTTCTGACATTTATAAAACCATTCCATGTAGCTCAGGTCTGTGAGTTCAAAGTACCTGTCCTCTGGTCAGTTTTGACTCTTTGCCCTATATTTTAGTACAGAATTTCATTGATTTTATCTTTATATTGTTATAGTGCATCTGTTCCATTGGCCAAATGTTTAATTCACTAATTGTGCACACAAAATTTTTGCCACATACACAAAATATTTCCTTGCTGGAACCATCTTCCACTGTGTGGTTATTGGATACTTTGACCCAAGGCTGTCTTTGAAATACAAATATGTAAAAACTGATCTTAAGACTACTACTTTTTATTAAATATCTACTGAAGAAAAAGATGCACATGTTTTATGACACTGAAATAAACTTATCTTTGTTCGACCTTTACTGCTCAGCGCATAGCAAGTCTGACACCAGAACTTCCCCATGAATGGATTTTGGATCATGACTCCATATTACTCATCATTTTTCCAAATACCCCATTATCTAGGCTTTAGTCTGACCTTTCCATCTTTAAGGTTTGCTGCATATACTATTTGAAACCCTTTTCATCTGTACTACTGTAGTGATCTTCTTTCCCCCGTGGCACCCAGAGTTCTCTCTCCTGAAAAGATAAAACCCTGACTGGCTGCTACTGGGGCCTCTCCTTCTCATTTCTTGTTCTGTTAATGCTCTATAGGAGGACATGTAAGGCACTTTGAGATTTGCTTATGTTGTCAAGACACAGATTTAAGAAAAAAAGATGTAAGACTAAAACAGAGAGAAAACATGCAAAGGCTGAACTGGAGTGACAATTTGATTTTTGTTACATCTACTGTAATGCAACTACACCAATTTCCTTTTTCCTTGCCATCTCCATGCTTCTGCCTCTCTTTAGTCACTTGCCGACTTGCTGAAGGCAAGCTCTAGGTGACATCTATTTCAGTTTGCAGACGAAGACACGGCATGACAATCCCTGGTGTATTTTGCATCGCTATCCTTGGCAGCAATACCACTGCATTACCCAGTCTGTCACAGTGATGTGCTGGGTTACTTTGCTAACACAGAATATGTGAAAAGCAAACAAATTTACTTTGCAAATGTTTTGTATGGGCATTATCAGTTGTAGCCTATAAAATGTCTATTGCCCTAAATGCTTTGCCTAGTCTCGTGTTAATGTCATCATCATATTGGGTAAAACATTTTGGTTTCCCATGCAGTAAATAAATCAATTATTTCTGTGATAACACTCAGTTACATTTCAATTTGACTTGCACACAAGCAGCCTCTTTATTTGGTATACCTGTAAAATCTAATACAATAAAACAGCTTGGCCATAAATTCAAACTTTTGCAAAAAAAAATAATGTTCAGTTTTTATTGGCACTCTTTTAGAGATGTCTTAAATGTTTTTCATTGAGGCTGATCACTCTAGTTTATTAGGTACACCTAGCTAAAACTAATGTGGTGTAATACAACACTCCTGCATGAATTTCTCCCTTTGGTAGTTAAACTGTTTACCAGAAGTGGTTTCATTTGTCATACAGTTGTCTGTGATGATGCTGAAATGTACTGATATGTTTTTGGTTTTTGTTCATGCTGTTTATATATAAAACAAGCCTAACTTTTATGAAAATGTGTGTATTTTCAGTGTATCAATGTGCAAACAGCTGAGCAAGCTCATGAAAGAATGACCTTAAACCCTCAGTAGCGTTCCACAGACCTTCACTACTTGCTGTATATACTGTAACACAACCAGAGTCAGATTTATATTGCTCCTGTCCTCTTTGTGTTTGGGATCAACTTCCTTCCCATATGTCTTGAAGCTGTGCTTGCTCACAAAACTAAAGCCTGTTCAGTTTTGTGTTTTCAGGACATGAAAGGAAAACTGAAAGCACACAGTATTTGATTAACAAGCGCCTGCAATTCCTATTTTGCCCAGTAGAGGTCACTGTGAGTAAGCAGCTGAAACCACATCTGCCAAAGCTCAGCTGAGTGAGTGAAGTAGCCCTGAACATAATTGTTAAAGTGTCTCTTGGTTTCCTCTTGGATGAAAAACGTGTGAAATTAGCAGAAAGCTGGAGTGTGGCCCCTTTTCTTCAAGTCAAAATTAAATATCAGCAGAAAAAAAAGAAAGAACATCAGGTTAGTGTAGTTCATCTACTCATGTGTTAAGACAGTGTTTAGAGAGCTGAACTGGCCTCAGTGTCTGTGAATTCAGATAACTATCCCACTCTCACATTTAAACATATGATGTGTGTTCCACTATCACCTCAGGGGGCAGAGTCTTTGACTTCAGCCCCTTGCTCCCTTATCATGGCAGCCTTCAGTGCCGACTTGTCAAATTTCCTTCTCAAAGCTTGTTTGCATGGAAATGTCAAGCACAGTGAAAGAATTTTTTTTGTTATATAACACATTAATCTAAGCACTCTGTGTGTGTGTTGGGGGGCATTTTGTGCGAAAGAGGCTTTATATTTGCATCCTGAAAAGACCCACTCCAAATCCTGGCCTAAAATTGCCCTCTCCATATGGATTTAACAGGTTGGATTTCATTATTCGGCCAGAATGTGCCAGTGCATGATTCCTGCAGAACACGAGATTTAATGGCTCAGTCTGTATCAGATGACATCTGGACACAGGGTCAATCCTTGATTGCTGCACCTTTGCCTCCCCTTATAACTGACAAAGTTGTAAGGTTAAGGTTTTAACTAAGTTTAAATCCTGGAAAGATGCTTAATGAGGCATTAGGGGTTAGTGCATTAGCTCATGAAAAATACAAAAGATACTTATGCTAAAAAGGCGGAAAAATATGGTAATTGCTTTTTCTCTAGCTCTGTCATTTATCCAACATTTTCACCATGTGGGTGGCCTCGGAAATAGTTGTGGTGACCTTTCAAAGACGAAATGAGATTAATGGTAAATGGAAGGGGGCTGAGGAAGTCTGTGTGTGTGAGAAGGAGGAAATGCAGCAAGGGTGGCTATAGATTTTTAATGTGGGAGCCTAGCGGTAGAGGAAGCCTGAAAGGAGAGGTTTGCCAGGGACACACAAGGGCAAGAACAGGGAAACAAAAACAGGATGGCTCTCAAGCTGACATGGAACATTCTGGAGCAGAGAGGGCGTTGACACACAGTTAGTGACAGTAGGAAACTGTGCTCTTCACTGAGTTATCTCTGTTTCTGCTCAGCCAGGGGAAAGAAGAAACACTGTATGTCCTGCTAGTGGAAGCATGTAATGATATACTTACAGTAAGCCTGCCTGCACTCTGATATGTACTGCCTATTTAAAACTATAATTTTTAGTTTATAATTCCATCTTTTTCAGTAGGATTCACTGTGCAGTTTTAGTTGGATTTACCAGACTAGTGACTTTTTTTTAGAAATCACCAAGTCAAAATCCAAAATTACCAAATGCACCGCATGTTCACAGCCTATTTGTGATGACTTTTATTTTTGTGTCACCCTTTAGCTGTGCAGTCGTTGAACAGCCTGAATGACCAGATTGCAAGCTTCATGGTGACTGGACCCAAGCCCCTGGAGCAGGAGGAGCACGCCTTTCTGCCCTCTGAGAAGGAGACACTGCAGAAGTCCATGACCCTAATGAGGCACCTCCTTGTGGATGCTCAGGTACAAGAAACAGTACACTAATTAGCCCACATGGAGGCAGATAGGGTTCAAGGAGGAGAGGCTCATCATGCACAGAATGGTTAATAGATGCAGCTGGGAGTGTTCAGGTCTAACTCCATCTGAAAGCTGAGCTGTATAGCATGCTAATCACACCAGTATAACAGTGGAAATTTTCACCAAACACATTTCATTTCAAGGAGCCTGCTGCCAAGTCAATAGATGATGGTGAACCAATTGCAATTTGTGGAAACTTTCATTCTAGCTCTGTAAAACATCCTCGATGAAATCATTATCATCTTGTAGCACAGTGTACTTTGAATGAATCTTTCTGTGCTACCTTCAGATATATTTAGTGTCGTTTTTCTATTATTTTCTGACATTGCTGGAAAAACCTAAAATACTTGAGGGGATAATTCATTTGAAAACTATTATTAGTTGCAGGTCTATGTACAACACAATGAGATCATCTAGGACTGATATGAGATTTAAAAATAAGACACTTAAATCTGTAAAACACAAAGAAAAACCGAACTTGTGCTGATACATATTGGCCTTGCAGTGCTGGAGTACACTTCACGCATGAGTTTGCACCAGGGCAAATTGTTTGTGGAGATGCAGAATATATTTTTGAGCGGCTCCAGCAAAAGGCCTCAGATGAAATGAAAATATTGACTGTGTGTAATAGAGGTGCAGCAACAAGGTTATGCTTCCTCCATTATAGTCAATTGCCACTTAACATTTCCCCAGTGCAACGATGGATTCATTGAATATAACATATTATTAAAAAGTCTTATTTCTTCTCACTCCTTCCTCCCCTCACCCCCTCCCTCAGCTGAATCGTCCTCCAACCCCTCCTCTTATTCAGAGATGACCCTAGTGTCCTCAAAAAACAATTTTCTGTTGCAGAAATCGTCCAGATAAGCAGCTTTAGGATTGATGTTTGGCGACTATTTGCACTGGCACCTGTTTAACAAATTAATTTGCCGAACCACTATTATATCAGATAAACATGATAGGCACGTGATATTATGGGCAGCCCCTCTAATGCATGTGTTCTCTTCCTCTTGTTTTACTGAGGATTTCATGTAACCTTTCACAGAGGAAGAGTAAACAGAAGAGAGGATGAGAGGCTGGATTCTTACAGGCTCCAGTTAGGGGAGAGGGAGGGTGCAGCCAGCTTGAAGTGGCAATGTCAAGAGTGTGACTAAGCTGTTTGTGATTTAATATGCATATGCTTGTTGTGGTAATTTGGCACAGTGTTTATCTCTAATCTCTCACATGCTGGCAATTTTACTGCATGTGCTGGAATGTAACGTATTTAAAATAGAAAATGAAAACTGAGAAATTAAATTAAAATTGTTCTGATCTCTAATCTACTAGACTCCTTAACTTTAAGTATTTGGTGTTTGCTTCTCTCGTTGGCTTTGTGGCTAAAGACTTTATGGTTACCACACAGATCCAAAAAACATGCACCTCCTTGCCATTTTTATGCCTTTGTTTCACTCGATCTCATATTTTATTTCCTGTTGAGGCTAAAAACACGTTTAATGCTCCAAGCTCAAGGAAACTCCACTAGGACTGGAGCAGTGAAAACTGCCCAGCGACTGATGACTGGTGGTGTCTCTCTCTCTGTGTCACTTTATCATCTTATCTCTCGTTGCCTTTCTAAAAGACAGGTCGCCATCTTTCTTTCAGCATCACAGCAAACTTTGTCTTGTTAATTTAGTCAAATTCAGCACTCTGTTGAACATTACTCTTTTCATTTTAGTCATAACATAAGTAAAATGTCATAAAGCAGGTGTTATATCAGGATCAGCTTTGTTTCCTCAGAACACAAAGCTCTATTTGACCCTAATTCCAAAATAAAATTAATGCAGATCCTGAAAAATTCTGGCTTTTACCAATATAGATTGGTTTGGTCCAATCTATATAAGATGGACCCAGGAGTCCAAAACTTTTAATCTTGATCAGATTTGGAAATCCAGCAGTTTGTGGTCCAGGATCAGACAACTCATCTAGATTTTGTTCCGGTATTTCAATTCAAGATAAGGTCACACAGATCCAGATTTGGACTTTTCAAGATTACCAGATCCTGAATATTAGTGTTATAATCCTACCTGTCACCTCCTAGTAGATATGACGAACAGCCTAAGGAAGACAGACAGTATAGTAATTCAGAGCCATGATAAGAAATTATATTTTCCAAATACACACAACACTTACATAAAATCATAAAGGAATTGCAGTTTAAAAAAAAAGCATCCTGCTGATGATGTGGCTGTTCTCTACAGTTACTTTTGCAGGTTGACCACATGCTAATCCTGTGATTTAGTTTTGAACTACCCATTTTGAGGAGATGAACCAGATTAAAGCTTGGATTTGATTTCTGATCTAATCAGATGTCAGCATGATCCCAATCTTGTTTTTTTTTTTGTGTGTGTGTGTGTGTGTGTGTGTGGTTTTCCTCTGAAGGCCATCCAAATCTGATCCACTAGGATAAAGATTACAAGTTTTGAACTCTTTAGCCCTAGTGATGACAAAAATAGTAACATGTCTAAATTATAAGACGAATGAGAACTTAAGTGGCGATGGTGTGGTCGCCACATCTTAAACTGACAATTCATGGATGATGTTTATACTGATCGTTTGTGGGGGTTGGTTCATTGTTGTTTTCTGCCTGAAATTGTCACAAATCTCTTTACAACAACATATGTTGTATTGTAGGTGCACTGAGTATTAAATAAACCCACAGCTGGCAAACACTCAATTTAGTTCTGGAAACCTTTACTTGATCGCATCTCTCTTAGCTCCAATATCACGGCCTCTCATTAAAACAAGCCACTGCTATTGTCCTGCAAGAGACAGCTGACTACAGAGCTGCTTGGTGTGGATATTCTTTCCTCTGAAGGCCCATCTGGTGCATAACCTGCAGTCAGTCTGGGAGGAGACTGGCTGCTGAGCTTTTGCCAATGACCCCTCCCTTTAACTCCTCTTCCCTGTGCTGTGACTACATTAGCTGAGCTGTCACTCATGAGCGCAGGGCAGGTGGGGGGTGGAAGAGAGAAAGAGCGAGTTTGGTCACAGAGGGGCTGTGGGTGCAGTTTGGAGGCCAGTAAAGGTGACTGTGACACTGACCGAGTGGAGACATTGATAAATAAGATGTATCCGAGCTCCTCTGACCTCTGACAAAAATCTAGCTAAAAGCCTTCCCTAAAATATTCTTAACTTTATAGATATATAATGCGACCTAAATTTCATTTAATGACGTTTCTACTCTCCCCCACCACCAAAAAGCATTCTTGAGCCAATTTCAATACACTGACCACAAAGCAGATCAATGTTGATGGCATTTCCTATTATTCAGAAATATTATATGCCTATAAAGTCTACAGTCTTTGCTTTGTAATAAAGTACTGCAGACATCTCAGTGACATTATTATACAGTATTAT